TGATTCCCATTCACTTCCATTATATGACTGACGGACTGCAACGGTTTGAGTTAAAAATCTTTGTTTGTGTTCTACTGAAGAAACAAAGTCACCAACATCTTGGATGCCCTGGGGGTAAGCAGATAAACATCAAATCTTCATTTTTGGGTGAACTATCCCTTTAACAAACTTTGCTTTTCTAGTAAAAAATCACAGTTATTTGAATATCTTTGAATTCTTTTGAATTCATTTAAATTCAAATTGCATTTCTGCATCCTGTCAGGAATGGACTTGGAATTCTGAATTCTGAATGGTGCACAACGGTCAGGGTCCAAGAACCGGTCATGAAACGTTAAAAAGAGTCCCACTGCCCATGAAATAAGTCTATCATTCTCATGAATTCCTCTTGAAATGTCTAAAACATGCAGTGTCCTTCAAGACGGATGACATGCAGTATCTACCCCAACGTACGGCCACCCAGCGCCATTACAGGGGTGCCGAGTCTTTTCACCCGCTCCAGTGTCGAGCACACAGGCCTCCCACGAGGAACCCAGAATCCAGCTGACATCACAAGCTGTTTTGTTGGCCGTAATGAATCCAGTGAATGTGAAAGGAGATAAAAGGACAGCTCCAGAGAGAGTGAAGGATGGTCACACTGTGTGGCTAATGTTCTGAAGGCTTTCACTGCGGAGAATGGGAACAATGGGAGCAAATGGCAGGACAATGACCAGTGTTTTTGTCCACTCAATTTGTCTGAGGTCCTTCAACCTAATCACATTCACTCAGAGTCATTTGAAGGTTTTGTTGGAAAGAGAAACTGCTGAGAGTTTGGGCCTGTGAACAAAAGGACAGAAAGGGGAAGAATCCTCATCTATCACCATGACAGCCGGACTTTTGGGTCCAGAGAATGGAGAGGATTGGAGAGAAAAGCCAACGTTTATTCTCTCAAAAAGTCATCAGACATGCTTGACCATCACGCGCATGAGAACAGCTTGAATTGTTGTTGAAGTTCTTTGTTAACGAGTTTTTGGAGGTTAAGTTTATACAATTGATGACAAACAGTTTTATAATTTGCTTTGTAAATACACTGGAAAAAATGTTTAGAAACAAATTTCATTCAGAAATTCCACATGCATTTACAAAGAAATGCAAGAAAAACATTGAATGAAATGAGAAATGAGAAATTTAGAAGTTGTATTTTAGTATTTTCGTGTAAAAACTTACTCCAATAATCTGTTTTATTTACAATCATTTGCTACAATGTACATTTGAATACGTAGTTGTCAGAGAAAATGAGTTTTAATTGTGGGAGTGTCTCTTTTAATAGAAAATAATTGAAATAATCCAAAATAACTTATTTTAAACTTCCTATTGTTAAGTTAATGTTAATTATGAATACACATGCAATGGAGAGGGAAACACATTCTGCAGGGTTTCAGAGCAGTTAACTTATTCTTAATGCGCTAAGATTAATGCACATTAGAGTTGTCCAAATGGGATTTTTAATGTCTCTAGGTGAGAACACCTTCGGTTACATATTACTGGCAATTTCTTTTTAATGCGTCTTTGTGTGTATCATGAAAGTTTCAGAGTGGCTTTACATGGTCAAGACAGGAGTTGACAGGACTCCTATAACACAGGCAAAATTCAAGCAATATCGCTCTAAACACATGCAACATGTAAAAATTCTTTACTGTCAAACAATTCTGTTATCATATTTTAAAGTTGATACCATTGCAATGCCTTGCCCTAGTGACATCCACTGTAAGATACACTCAATTCGTAGCTATTTTATGTTTTTGTGAATTGGTGGGTAATTTGTATAAATTTTTTTTGTACAAAATAATGCATGCATTTTCATATGGTCTGTTCACTCCCCAGTGACGGCCTTCATGCTTACCTTTTTTAAAATAAAAATGTTGTGTTCTCATACAATTCACAATGCAAAAATAAAACAGTAAAAAAAAAAAGGTAATTGTGACTTTTTAATCTCACAATTCAGAATTAGCTTTTCACAATTCAGAAATAAAAATGAGAATTGAGAGATGTAAACTCAGAATTCTGAGAAAAAAGTCTGAATTTTGAGATGTGATAAGAGTTATTTTTCATGCATTTCTGACTTTTTCTCTCAAAACTGCAAGATATAAACAGAATTACGAGATAAAAACATGCAATTCTGAGAAGAAAACTCAGAATTACAAAATATAAACTCAGAATACTGACTTTTTTTCTCCAAATTATATATAAAGGTAATTGCAACCTTTTATCTCTCTCTGTTTTCATGCAATTGCAAGTATATACCTTGCAAGTATATACACTATCTTGCGTTTATAACTATATATCTCACAATTATGAGAGAAAAAGTCAGAATTGTGAGGAAAAAAGTCAGATTTGTGAGATAAAAAGTCACAATTACCTTTGTTATTCTATGGTGGAAGTGGACATCCATAGGGTTAGCAGTACTGCACAAATTCAATTCTACGAACTTGATGAATGAGAATAATTTTTAGTTGTAAACGACAGAAAATCACAGATGCTGTCAGCAGAACTTGGTTTGAACTGGGAAAATTCTTTGTTTGAACATTTTTAACATTTAAATGTATTAATAGTAATAGTATTACACTGTAAAAAAAATTCCATAAAATTTACGGTAAAAAAACAGCAGCTGTGGTTGCCGGAATTTTACTGTAAAAAATACAGTAGCAACATTTTAGGTTTTACGGTTTTAACTTACATTTACAATTAAATACCGTAATTTAATTAACTGATATAATGTTAATATACCATCCTATTGAAGTACTGAAATCTGTTTTTTACCTTTGTAATACACTCATGAGAAAGTCACATGATGAACCAAAGCCCATCACAAGCAGCTTTTAAATAATAACATATATAGAAGGTGCACGGTGTCATTAGTAGGGGAATTTACCGTTAACAATTTAACAGGTTTTTAATGTAGCATTTTTACAGTCTTTTACCGTTAAATTCACGGTCATTTTTTACAGTGTATAGTTAATAGTAATATTAACAGTGCTTTCTTTCCTTAAAATAAATGCCACTTGTTCTAATTATTTGATAAATACTGCAATGACATTCAAACATTTTTAAGAGTGCAAATAATTTTTGGTGCCACTGTGCATAATAATGTCAAAATATTGCAAATTCCACTTCAAATGACAAGAACAGGCATCCAAATCACAAGATGAATGTAACTCTGGCCTACTTCACATGCTTGAGTGTGTGTGTGTGTGTGCCATGAGATCATCGCTGTAAGGGAAGCATACCACATCTCTCTCATAATAATGGATCTGGCTATCCTTTCATATCTTCTCTCAATTTTTACGCATTACCAGAGTGTATTGAAAGTGCTTTTTCAATGAAGAAGTAAAGGCAAGCATTCCTTCTTGTGCACACCTTTGAACTGAACACAATAGGATCGTCTACTGCAAAGATCTCACACTTTTGTTTGTCCATCCAGGAGGAGAAAGGCCTACAGTATCGCTTACACTCCAGAGATGATGGTTACGATTACAGACAAAGCCACAAATGTTGAGGACAAGAGGCTGTGATTCGATGCCTGCTTGCCTAACACATTGCCTCTTGTTCTCAGTCAATCCAGGATTTTGCCTTCAGGTTAATTCCTTTATGCCCTAACATAACATAGTCTCAAAACACCATGGGACACGGATGACAGACTGTAAACAAATACCTGCTGTCACCTCCGGCACCAAATCTTAAAGCCATTACGGAGAGGGATGTAAAGTGACAACGTTTTTTCTTCTCCTGGTTACTGGAATACAGGGGCTTTCCCAGTTGTAATCAAGCCATATGGAAATGAAGGTTAGGTTAACATACTGCACCCTGTGACATGATTAGGGTTGTCAATTTAATATGTTCATCGAGTGTGATTTATAAAAAAAAAAAAAAAAAAAAAAAAAAAAAATGCTGAAAAAATCAAGCACTTGGATCTGTAAATTCCCTAAAAAAGCATTTTTCTTAAAATCGGCACAGTTCAAGCTTCATATTTTTGCTGGCAGATAAAATAAAATAAAAGAGATATTTTGAGTGATACCAAGTGGTTTAATCCAAATACAATAATCTGACATGACAGAACAATTGCAAATACACATTTTAACATAAATGCAAAGAATACAAACATGTACTTCTGACTTTTGAACAGCAAACACTGATTCTTCCAACCAGCAGAAACCATGCTGTCAATTCAAACAGAACACAAACCCAGAAGGGATATGACAACTTAATTCTCAAACAAATAACCAAGAAGTTAAAAAACATTGAATTCAGTTGTTTAATTGAAATGAATCTGTTGGGCTAAACTGCATTTCACAAAAATCTTTTGTGGCTGGTACTGCAACTTTCTCTTCTTTTACCTTTTAAAAACAAGACAATGAGCAGCAGAGAGAAGCTGCCGGTGTTGCTGTGTGCAGTCACTCAACATCCCTTTCATTCTCACAGACTCACAAAACAAATCATAAAAATAAAATCAAATAAAATCAGGGACAGCATTACATTTAACAGGCACATTAAACAAAAGTAAAGTTCAGGATTTTTTGTATTGCACAAGATTTCTTTGCCCAAGAAACAATGCAGCATTACAGCAATGATTGTTATCCAGCATTTGTTTTCAGTTTTTTGATTAAGGCAGACGGAGTATCAGAATCACAAATAATAATAAATAAACAAAAATAGGTGCTGTTTTTTGATTACTTTATAGAGCCCTCTCAGTACAGTGTTGTCTTAGTGTTTAAAGGCCTTATTGTTGCAGTCAGAATCATCCGTCATTGTGGTTCATGTAGTATAAAGGCACCGGTCTAGTTCATAGCATAGTGTTTCATTAGAGCAAAGGCAAGCTATCTCTTTGGCCCCTAGCAGTCCTGGTACTACACTTACACATTAAGGCACATATTAATAATCATAACACACAGTGGTGTACAGTCTCTAGCCTATCATACTGGAGAAATCAGAACGCTGGTGTATGCAGTCCTCTGGTGTGATTGCAGCTCTGTGGTCTCGGAGTCATTGGCGTGAGCGTTCAGTGTGAGCGCATGCACACGTCTCCGGCTCGGCTCGGCTCAGCCTGGTGTTGTGGGCGAGGAGGCGGAGCTTGTGCCCGCTGCCCTCCACAGGAGGAGGATGCTGGGCGTAGTTGTGCACTGTGTACATCAGGCTCTTTACGGGCCGTTATAAAGCTGTCTCGAAGATAACCAAGCTGCCATCTCTTGTGGTGGCGAAGCCGTTGAGCTGGTGGACTGGACTGCGGTTCATGTACGCCTGCCAAAGAAAAGAAAGAGAGAACATGGTTAGTGTGATGTACACTAAGGGTCAAAAGTTTGGAATAATTCAATTTTTTTATTAAAAAAATCGTATACTCACACTAAGGTTGCATTTATTTGATTAAAAATATAATAAAATCTGTAATATTATGAAATAATATTACAATTTAAAATAAAGGTTTTCTATTTAAATATATTTGAAAATGTAATTTATTCCTGTGATGCAAAGCTGAATTTTCAGCATCATTACTCCAGTCTTCAGTGTCACATGACCCTTCAGGAATCATTCTAATCTGCTGCCCAATTATTAATAATGGTTAACAGTTTTTGCTGCTTAATATTTTTCTGTAAATTATGATGCATCTTTTCAGGATTCTTTGGTTAATAGACAGTTCAAAACAACAGCATTTCTTTGGAAATATATTTGCAAGATTACAAAATATATTTTTATCACTTTTAAATCAATTGAATGCAAATAAAAGTATTCATTTCTTTTTTTTATCTGATTGAATGGTAGTGCATCACAGTTTCCACAATAAAATTATGCAGCACATCTGTTTTCAACACCGGACTATAATAAGAAATGTTTCTTGATCATCAAATCAGCATATTAGAAAGATTTTTGAAGGATCATGTGACACTGGAGACTAGAGTAATGATGCTGAAAATTCAGCTTTGCATCACAGGAATAAATTACATTTAAAAATATATTCAAATAGAAAATATTTATTTTAAATTTTAATAATATTTCAGAATATTAGTGTTTTTACTGTATTTTTGATCAAATAATTGCAGCCTCGGTGACCATAAAAGATATTCAAAACATTCAAAAACATAAAAAACAAAACATAAAAACCATTTTAAAATATAATAAAATAGGAAACAATTTTTAAAAATTTTAATAAAATTACTGTCTTTTTAACAAATAAATGCAGCCTTGGTTAGCATAAGAGACTTCTTTCCAAGATCGTAATCATTCCAAACTTTTTGACCAGTAGTGTATGTGACCCTTTAATGAGACCTGGAAACGGATGAAAGGAATCACTCTGTTCCCAAACCTTCCCTGACAATGCTTTTCTAAACACAGGGGACGGAACACAGCAGGCTGAATGGAAGTAAAAATCCCCTCTTATTTAATATCATCATTATGCAGTAATCAAAACCTCTCATTGTATTTAAAAGCACCCATGGCTAACAATGAGCGCAAAGACAAAAAGAAGAAAAAGCACCTCAGGTGGATGTGTGCTTGAAAGCCCCGGCGGTCAGCTCCAGAGGGGCCGGCGTGGAGAATGAGCTCACCGGCTGAAGGAGGCGGAGAGGAACCCGATCCGAAGGGAGAACAACATGCCGCCGAGGAGGGGGAATCTAATACTGACTGACAGCACAAAGGCCTGGGCTCTTTCAGACACACTGTATTGTGGCTTTCTGGCACAGGTACATGTGGCACATATTTGGCGATCGGACAGAGAGACTTCACAGCGATATGCAGTGCTCTGCTCACCTGTTTGGCGGTCTGCAGCAGAGAGGCCGCCTCTGCCTTTCCCGTCTGCTGCACCATCTTGTAGAAGATCCCGTTCTGGTTCTGTAGGAGAACGTGAGGGGCATCGTACTCGTGGATTCGACCTGCATCCAGAACCTGCGAGAACACCAAACATCTGTTTCTGATATCCTGAAAACTGGTTCTTTTCCAGAACCGGTTACATGAAATAAATATTAGAACCTAACAATGTGATATTTGGACCTGGTATCTGCAGCAAATTCATGAATGAATGACTCGTATGAACTGATTCTTTTTACTGAATCAATCAAAAAGACTCAGTCAGTCAAACTCACGACTTACAGCTTTGAGTCTAATGACTCACTCACTGACTGACTGAATGAATCAGTCGTAATACAGTCGTTACTTTCATCACGGTCAACCCAAAATGAAAAAACTGCTGCTGTGATATATGCATTTAAGGTTTGTGAGACTTAAAAATTGTGTAGTTACTGATTTGCGGTATTTAATGCTAAATTTATTATGCCGTTTTGATGCTCCAGGTATATAGTTCCCCATATATAGTTTTGTTGTATGGTAAAAAGCAGCATGAAAACGTAAACTTCAAAACAACTTCTTTTAAAATTTTTTTGAAGAAACATGCAGGTTTGGAATGATATGATTGAAAAGTAATGTAAGTTAAAGGGATACTCCACCCCAAAATGAAAATTTTGTCATTAATCACTTACCCCCATGTCGTTCCAAACTCGTAAAAGCTTCGTTCGTCTTCGGAACACAATTTAAGATATTTTGGATGAAAACCGAGAGGCTTGTGACTGTCCGATTGACTGCCTAGTAAATTACACTGTCAAGGTCCAGAAAAGTATGAAAAGCATCGTCAGAATAATCCATCTGCCATCAGTGGTTCAACCGTAACGTTATGAAGCGACGAGAATACTTTTTGTAGGCGAAGAAAACAAAAATAACGACTTTATTCAACTGTCTCCTCTGTGTCTCTCCGAATCACTGTAGCGCCATTTTGGAGAATATCCGCTGAACGCAAGCAGCGTATGCTATTCAGTGTCAGCCGTGACACAAAGATACGTTTTCTATGTGTATTTACGCTTTGATTTGAACGAAAACAGCGCATCCATGCAGCGCGGCTGACACAGAATAGCGTACACTGCTTGCGTTCAGTGGTTTTTCTCCAAAATGGCGCTACAGTGATTCGGAGAGACACAGAGGAGACAGTTGAATAAAGTCGTTATTTTTGTTTTCTTCGCGTACAAAAAGTATTCTCGTCGCTTCATAACGTTACGGTTGAACCACTGATGGCAGATGGACTATTCCGTTCCGAAGACGAAACAAAGCTTTTAGGGGTTCGGAACGACATGGGGGTAAGTGATCAGTAGGCGCGTTTCCATTACCCTTCAAATTGCGCAAATTGACTTTGTATTAAACTATGCATACATACATACATGATGCAGGTTTTGTTTATAGTTGTTTAAGCAACTTAATTATAATTGGTTAATAAACATTATTTTAAACATTATGCACTTTTTCACAGATAGTCATGTTATCTTTGAATAGCTTTGAATAAACCTGCATTAGTAATATTTTGCTAGATGCGCCCTCTTGTGGTCTCAGAAGAGAAGCCAAAAGCTTTTCTTCACCCTAACTCAAATTATACGTTTTAAATTCTAATATAATTCTCTTGTGGCCTCAGAAGAGAAGCCAAAAGCTTTTCTTCACCCAAGCTGAAATTATGCATTTTAAATTCGAATTTAATTCGAATTTTGATAATATTTAAGTACAAAATCCAAATTTAGTTTTTCAGCCATTTTGACAGCCCTAATTCCTTTAACCCTCACAATGCATTCAAAATCTGCATATGATTTCATAACTTTATATTTTTCAATTAAAACCATATTGTATCTGATCTGATAACTTCTCATAACCATGTTATTTACCACTTTAATTTTTCATTTAAAAACTGATCAATTCTTTGAAAATTTAAATTTGACATGAATTACAAAAAAATAACTGATGCGAGAAAAATATTTTTTTTAATTCAAGAGAAATGTTATTTGAAAATATTATTTGAAATTTCTAAAAACCTATAATCTCTCAATTACCAGTATTATTCCTTTAATCTTATAACTCATGAGTGCTAAAATAAATAAATAAATAAATAAAATAATAATAAAATCAACATTACTCCAGAATTCAAATATAATCATTTTACTTGAATAAACTTTCAATTTCAGATGACAAAGAAGTGTGTGTGATAGGTGAATAGGTGTGAAAATTCATGTTTATTAAAAAAATTCAGTATGGGAAAGAGGCTAAATATATTTTACAAAGCTATTTTTGAGCCTGAAAGCCTGATTTGATGCTTCGGTTAAAATGGACCTGAAAGATACCTTTTTTTAAATTTTTTTTTATTAAATGATGCGTGTTGGCTCATTTTGAAGATTGGTTGCTCTCTCTATCTCTTTAGATAGCCTTGGCTCCTTTGCAAAGACTCTTCCAGGTTTACACATCTCTTCCAGGTCTAAATGGACCTGAATGCATTATGATAAAGAGCTCCATCTCTGCACTCACCAGGATGCGGTCGCTGTCTATGATGGTGTTGAGTCTGTGTGCGATGGTGAGGACGGTGCACTCCTTAAACTTGGCTCGGATGGTTTTCTGGATCAGCTCGTCTGTCCTGTAGAACGCAAACAGTTCTGTCATATCTCTTAAGAGTGGCTATATTCGTTTGTATAAACAATCTCAGAGCCAGGTCAAAGACTCACCGAGGGTCCACGTTTGCGGTGGCCTCATCAATGATAAGAATCCGGTTCTTCCTCAGAATGGCCCGAGCTAGACAGACGAGCTGCCGCTGACCCACACTGAAGTTTGATCCAGACTCAGCCAGTTCGGTCTCCAGTTTAGCAGGCAACTCCTCCACAGCAGCCTTCAGCTGGACCTTTGAGCAAACAAAGCTCAGATTCACTCCAAGAGCTGGACTTTGAGATCGCTTAATAATGCATTACATCTATAATCATCACGTAAGTCTACTGGGGAAAAGTTCACATCAGAAAATGTTTAACCAAGATCTATATGGTTCATCACATGCGGATAGTGTTAAATAAATATTATTGATCAGACTACACAAATCTAACATTTGTGATGAGATTGAAATGTGGAGAAGCAAATTACATGAGCAACACAGTGCACATGTTTTTTATGCTTTAAAACATGTAGAAAGATGATGTACATAAGTGTTTCCCAGTTTTTTGTTTGCCGAAAACCTTGGAGCTAAAATATTTACTTGAAAACATTTACCCTAAGATTTTAATGTTTTAACTTAAAAGCACATTCACATCATGGTTCTCTGTTGTCAGTTAATCATCATGTGAAAGCAAGTAATCAAATCAAATATTTTATATTTATAGCAAGTGTTTTATTTTTTATAGCGTGCATTTTAAAATTATTTACTTAAATTGGACGTTTTTAGCATTTCATTAATAAGAAATCCATTCACAAGTGGATGTTTGAAGCACATGTAAAAAACAACTGACCCCTCTGAGATGATCAGGAGTGTAACCTGTATAAAATGTAGTTTTGGCCTACAATAATATATCATCCCTGCACGCCTCTATTACACTGAGTGTGTGTTCACCTCTTTCAGAGCGTTCCATAAGTCATGGTCTGAGTGCTGGCTGAAGGGGTCCAGGTTCTTCCTCATGGTTCCTGTGAACAGCACGGGATCCTGGGGGATGATCGACATCTTCTGGCGGAGGTCGTGCAGGCCGATCTCAGAGGTCAACACTCCGTCCACTAAGATTTTACCCTCCGGCTCCATCAGACGAAACAGCGCTGAAATCAGGGAGCTTTTCCCTGCACCGGTCCGTCCAACGATCCCAACCTGATCAATGCAGAGCAGAAAACATCAGTGCACACTACCTGACAGACTCTGACATGAGGCTCTGGAGCTGCGGCGCTGGACTCACCTTCTCTCTGGGTCTGAACATGGCCGAGATGTTCTTGAGGACGACGGGTCCATCAGAGCTGTAGGAGAAGTTGACCCTGTCGAAGGTTATCAGGCCCCGATTGGGCCAGTCGGGAGGGGGGCGTTTCTGGGTTTCCCAAGGTGCTTCGCTTTCCAGCTCTGTGTATTCGACAACTCTCTCCACTGACGTCATCTAGATGGACACATTATTCAAAAAGCAAATCAGTTTGTTAACTTGTCGGGTAGATTTAAAATATGAATCAATTTAGCTCAGGCAGAAAAACGTGTGCATCACACTGCAAGGAACTGTCAGAGCTGAAACGCTCTATATAGGCAGCAACTCACACACACATCACAGAAACAGCGCTTCTAATTGATTAGCATGTTGTTAAGCAAACAATCCAATACTCCCAATAAGCAGAGTATTTTCAGTACTAAATAAAACAAACATATATTCGTGCATGTCAGGTCCAGATCTCAAGAGTTTCTTACAATAATTATGCTGCTTTTTGTAACAGCTTTCACACAGAGAGGACATTTATTATGCTAAATGTTGTTTTGTTTTGAACAAATCTCTAAAAACCAAGCTGAGGAAGAGGTACACTACCATTCATAAGATTTGGGTCAGTAAGATTTTTTTTAGAACGGATGCGGTAAATTGATACAAAGTGTAAAGTAAAGACTTTTACACTGCTATTTTTATCCCAAATAAATATTTTCCCACAAAAGTAGTATTAAGCAGCATAACTGTTTTCAACACTGATAATAAATAGAAATGTTTCTTGAGCATCAAATAAGCATATTAGAATGATTTATGAAGGATCATGTGACTCTGAAAATTCAGCTTTGCATCACGGGAATATATTTCAATTTAAAATATATTAAAAACAGAAAACGGTTATTTTAAATTGTAATATTTCTTCACAATTTTACAGTTTTACTGTATGTTTTTATGAAATAAATGCAGCCTTGATGAGCCAAAGAGACTTCTGTCAAAAACATAAATATATTTTACAGACCCCAGAGTAGTGGAAATGCGGTGGAAATTCAAATATTAGGTTCTTACCAGGTTCTCCACCTCGGCACTCTGTCTAACGCCCCACTGGAACATTCCCATTAGGGTGACTGCATAAGACAAAGCCAATCCCACATCTCCTGCCTTCATACCTGTGAGACACAATCCATTCACATACTGGTGTCAAAAAAGCTGAAAAGAAACAAAGTCGATCTAAACCCCCATAAGGATTTTCCCACTGACAGTTTCAAATCAAATGTGGCAAACTGACAATTAAAGACCATTCATTCTTGAGACATGGCACATCCTGAGTTGAGCCTGACCGATATGGGTTTTTTGGGGGCCGATACCAATACCGATTTTAGGGAGAAAAAAAAGGCTGATAACTATATATCGGTCGATATTCTTTGTGTATATTATAGTACAGTACCAGTCAAAATTTGGGACACTCTCCCATGCGTGTGTTCAAACTTTTGACTGGTACTATATATAGAATACAGTATATACATAAACAGAATATATATACAAAAACAAATTTTTTGCAATGATCACTCAAATGTGGTGATCAAACACTTATAATGACGTGACAAAGATATGTAATGGAGGCAGGGCATTTAACAATTTAACAAACTTCATTGTCCAAAATGAGTCTGACATCAGTGCACTGAACAGTAAAGTTGAAGTTTATTCAACTTTATTTCAATTCAATTCCATTCAACTTTATTCCGTTGAAGTTTATTTCACTTCGGAACATTAATTCACAGATCTGCGCTACTGTCTTCACACACAGACGAAAATTACTAGAGAAGTGTGAAGTTTGACTGTAAATAAATACAATTTAAATTAACATCTCGCGCACTTTAATGCCCTTTGAATGTAACGTGTACGTTCCCTCGGAACTGGAATCATGGCGGAATATCATGTGAAGTCCACTTCGCAGGGCACTTACAGTCGAATAAGACAACGCATGAATGCTGCTGCCTGGAACAAAAGACCTCCTTACTGAAGTGAAAGTGTTGGCTGGTGTCACTATCTCGCGAACACTATCTCCACCAAATTTGGGCGATCCCTTCAGCTCGAGGAGCCCTCTCGAACACCACCCTCCGCGTGTCGGTAGCCCCCCGGGATCGCCAGATCGGTCGGCGCCCGACAGTGAATTTAACCGCCTGTAACTCCCGGACCCCGGGGGCTATCGACGCGGGGGTGGTCTCATTCGAAAGGGGGCCTCGAGATGTACACTCAATTTGGCGTTCGAGAGGGTTCCTCGAGCTGAAGGGATCCCCCGAATTTGGTGCGGATCCGCCGCATCGTTACAGCGATATGGCCGTTCAAATTTCAATGGTATTCTAAGCTTTAAAGCGTTTCATCCAGGTCGCCAGTAGCAAACAATGGAGCGCGCTCTGCTGGATAAACTACGTAATTACACCATTTACCGGCATCTTATCTGCGTTTTATGTTCTGTAAAAAAAATTTCATGATATCGGTGGCATATCGGCGGCATATTTGCCGATACCGATATATATGCGACAGGCTCATATCGGCCGATAAAATTGGCAACACGATATATCGGTCAGGCTCTAATCCTGAGACCTGAAACATTTTCAATTTCAAAGGAAACAGATGTTTACCAGACCATCCTTAACACAAATGTATCATATCATTCCATTTTCTCTTATTAAATTTGATCAAAATTATGACATTGTCACTTCATCCTTCATGTAGAATACATTATTGTTTATCACACTTAAGAAAAACAAAACAACGTGTAACATTACCATTCAAAAGTTTGGGTAAAAAAATATCTTATGGCTGCATTTATTTAATAAAAAATACAGTAAAAACAGCAGAAGTGTGAAATATTACAATTTACAATAATGCTTTTCTATTTTGATATATTTTAAAAATGTAATTTATTCCACTCACAGTCACTTTTGATCATGATTTTGATTTAGGCCGAATGCATCTTTGCTGGATAAAAAGTACCTATTTCTTTTAAAAAAATTACATACCTCAATCTTTTGAATGGTGTATATATAATGTATTCATAACATATAAATATGTATTTTTGAATGATAGTTGTTCATTTTAAAAATCTTTTAAGTTTTCACAGCTTTTTTTGTCAGATATTTATAAAATGTGTAACATTACTCCTCCAAGTGCAGGATTCAGTGCACTATCACTGTAAAAAACCATTCAACACTGTGTTTTGGTTAGTAGTGTGTTTGCTGGATATCTCACTGTCTTTAAGAAGAAGGCATCCAAAGGCTGTGATGGTCACAAACACTGAACACATTCCATCCAAGCGCACTGCAAACCAGCGTGAAGTGGTCAAGAACAGGAACCAGGCCTCTGCAGGAGCACACAAAACATTTGAAACAACACTTTAATAAAGCCAACAGCTAATCGGAGTCCTGCAAGTGGCCTAATCCTTTACGGACCGGAGTGCAGATCCTGATGGGCATCAAACGTTTGCTGAAACCTTTCCTCCGCTTTAAAGGCACGAATGGTCCAGAGGCCTTGCAGTGAGGATGACAGATGGGAAAATACAGGACTTCGAGCTGTAGAAACATAAATATAGCGTCATCAACACCAGGACACACAACAAAGCTGCTCTGAAGAAACATTACTGAAGACAATATGTGACCCTGGACCACAAAACCAGTCTTAAGGGTCAATTTTTCGAAATTAAAATTTGACAGGAGACACTTACTAGTGGATTCAATGCGCTTGACGTCTCGTGATGTCCGCAGGAAGTAGCGGCGTAGAAACAGGAAGGCGATCAACAGAGGAATCACAGGAATCAGAATCCAAGGGATGACGGAAGATGCCACAGCAATGACTCCAATGATTTGCAGAAACACCTGTTAGTGGATGAAAGCACGAAAGAGGGAGAGATATACACAATTAATTAACGTAATTCATTTAAAGTAAAAATATATACATTTATTAAAATAAACAAACAGCAAAATAAATTGTGTTTTAGATGAGAAGTGAGCTGTAGAAACACTGCGTCACAACGGTTGACTGCTGGGTCATTAAAGCACTTTGTGGTTTTGGTTGCTCACTTTTAACCACAAACACTTATCAAAGAACACAGAAGAAAAACAGCCAGGACAGCACGACTCGACACTTTCTGAGATCTCATTCAAATAACCCTTAACAACTTAAGGTTAGTGTTGGGATGAGCACAGACTATAGTGGAACAGAAACTGACAAAAGCATTACTGTACTTGTGATTTTAGGACTGGTGTAGAAGAACCTCAATAACGTCAAAGTGAGATCTCTCTCCTGCTTTTGACTGCTTTTCAAGAAACTGCTTTGGTCGCTTCATCGGCGTGCTCCCGTTCAGAACGGATACTTGCATGCTGTGGTATGCCTATTACTTTATTAAAATACTATCTGAAACTGTACATGTGTTACATTTTTAATTCATAGCGGCATCCAGTCATCATCTTGGAAATAAAATGGAAAATTTGCAATTGAATCCATTTTTTTTTCTCGTTAAAATACCTAAACTTTTGGTAATCCAAATAATGCTGAAATCTACAGCTGATATTACTTACAGTTCAATTATCACACTATAAATGGAAGATCGAGTATATTGTTTATACTCCATGTACACCAGGGGTTTTCACTCCAGAGGCCGGGACCCACTAGGGGCCCTCAGCAAACTTCTGAGGATGACTTAAAATGACTTTAAAAATAGGCTAAAACAACTAATAATCAAGATATTTCTTATTTCAAGTTGGTCCACCTTAACAACTGTTTTTACTTTTCTTTTTTTCCCACACAGTCTTGAAAAACTTGGATATACTGCAACTGTATGAAGTTTTCTATAGATTTCTACACCTGGAAAAGTAATGAAAAATTAATAAATATTAATATAATAATTATAACAAATATCCATAAATGTTTTATAAAGAATATACACATTTTTCTAGTGATTTAAAGTTCTAAAATATTTTATTGCTGGAAATTAAAAAGTTAAAAATTAGTAAAAATATTAAAAAAAATGTTTTATCTTTAATCCTTATGCAGTAAATCATGAACAAAGTATTACAAATACATTAGTTAAAAAGAGTGGGAAACTTGAACATTCAGCTCTTAAAAATTTCGGAATCTTTAAATGTACAAGTAAAATGTACAAAAACTAAGAATTTCTATAGATTAAAATTGTAAAAAAAATAAATAAATAATTACATTAGATTCACCAGAGGAAACATATTTACCTACACTGAGTCAAAAAGTTTGAGAACTACTGGTATAAACGCCACATTTGGCAAAAGTAGTGAGTCATAATCCTACAATATATATTTTCCTTCAATACTTCTGGGAATCACTCATTTACACGTTCGGAAGCTGTAATCACAATGTGACGTGACTGGGGTTTATTGCCGTTCATCTTGTAAGCGCAATCATTCCGTCTTCAAGGCACCAAAACTGTATAAATAGTACAAGCAGAATAGTAGTAAGCTATTTTTTAGGAAGTATTCAACAATGCATGCTGACTTTGCTGACACACTAAAGGGAACCAATAGTGAGAGAGGACTGTGGGAAAGACTAAGTGACTGCAGTGTTTTCTCATCCTAAGAGAGAACAAGGAGGATTCTGCTGCCCCACACAATGAAAAGCTCCTTAAATGAAAGACTATTGTACTTCCAACTCAGTCTGTCAAGTTTCAGACAATAGCGCTCTGAGCACATAAAGTGACGCCTGTCACCCACGTATTGACCACATTGTCATTCGCCAGGGAAAAAGCCACAATATGTTGTTGGTCTACAACACTTGGTTTACCAGAGCGAATAATGCATATGGCCACAAGTGATGGGTGTTCTAATACAGCCACGTCAGCATGTGCAGATTATGTGGTGTTTAACAGACACTGCACTGCAAAACGTACCTGGATAAAATCAACAAATGTCCACGGAAGTAAGGAATCAAGGTGGCCGATGTCTTTGGCGAACCGGTTGAGGATTCTTCCTGAAATGACAAGGGAAAAGCCATTCAGAGAACAAAACTGCTTCCAGAACATTGCCAAAAACACCAAACATTTTAACTAGATTTAACTAGACAGGACAGTGTGAAGAAAATGATGAAAAGCCGATTCACTGATAATTTATATTTAAAAAGCCTTTGTAAAATCAAAGTCATGTGGTGCGACCGACATGCAATAAATTAATAAATAAATAAAAATAAAATAATTATTAAATGAAATATTTAAATAAGTCAACAAGTCTGAAAAATAAAATGAACTTTTTAATTATGATATTTAAAAAAAAGTCTAAAATCAATAATACAATTTAATAAAAATAATAAAAATAAATTATATTTAATGAACTAATATTTCAAGCTATCTGTAAAAAATAACCTTGACAAATAAAAAAAAAATATTAAAAATAATGATTACACTAACTTGTTCAGAAAAATGTGTTGTTACTTTAAAAATGTGTTATTACTAGAGCCCGACCGATATGGGATTTTTGGGGGCCGATGACGATATTAGGGAATAAAAAAAAAAGACAGATACCGATATATCGGCCGATATTCTTTATGTGTAGGCTATATTATAGTACAGTATAGTCAAAAGTTGGGTAACTGTGTAGGACAAGCAAGCTACTGCCAAACCAACAGGCAGGTTTATGCAGGAAGCACAGCTTTTCAAAATGTAAACATCTAAAATTAATAAATAATAATATATATTATATATAATATTTTTTTTCACAAACTCTGTGTTCTCTGCCGTCTATTGAACTGCAGAAAGATACTAACTTTTCAATCTGCTACGTTACTGACTGTACTGACAAACTATGCTGACACCGTGTCTGTGCCGCAACAGGATGCAACAAAGCGACTGTTGAAAATCATTTGAACTTTGTGTCAGCACATCATAAATAGAACGAGGCATCAGTTTACTGAATCCGGTGTAGACAACAGAATGGGTTCTATTCTACACCGGAAGCGAGCGGCTTCTGGCGCAATGTGATGTGACCGATGTGATAAGCATGAGTTCTGGGCTGCGGCGCGGCCGGTAAACACCAGCAATGAGTGGCTGCGATCAGCTCCGGTGGCCGTAACACAGGCTTTAATGTGCCGCAGATGCGTGCCGTGATGCGCAGATCAGCTCTAATCTCTAACATCACTGAATCTGCTGTTAAAATGAACCATCCATTCATCATATCATCATGCAAAACTAAGAATTAGAATCATTGTAATGTGACGATCAAATATAGGTGCGGGTGGGTGGCGGGCGGATAATTTAATCTGGGTTATACGTTCTGTAAAAAAAAAATTTCATATCGGCGGCATATTCGCCGATACCGATATATCGGCGACAGGCTCATATCGGCCGATAATATCGGCTAAACGATATATCGGTTGGGCTCTAGTTATTAACATCAAGTATAGCATAAAATTTCAACATTTTTTTTTCTGAAAACTGTAAAAAAAAAAATAAAAAAAAAAAGTTTTTCATAACCATATGAAACCAACATGAATAGAAAGAGTACATTTTAACTAGATACCAAATTAGTTTTAAAATCTCTCCTTTTCTTTATCTTGGACAATCTTATTCAGGAATAGTGACAAAAGCATCGCTGATTAAAAAACAGGCTGAAATGCTGACAGTGACATGCTGTGCAAACTTTTCTGTTGCATTATTTTATCAATAACAATCCCATATTGCCATTTACTTCTTATCTAACTGGTCATGATAATTCTGGCTATAAAGGCCTTTAAAGTATGATAGTGACTGGGAGGATAATAAATGGCAGATTAAACACAAATAATGCAAACAAAGGAGAACTCAATCAACATCGGCACCATGCTGGATATCTGTTTGTCATTTGTCAGAAATGTTTATGGCTAATGATGCTTCGATTACAAGTCCCGAAGAACTGGCAGACATTATAAACACCCACTAGTGTTAACCATTCTCTATTAGCAGAGAGCATAGATTACATAGATTACCAGAGCGCCGAGACACAGGATACGCTAGTTGTGTCAACTAATCCACATCACAAGCTTATTCCCGCCATAAATGCTTCCACAAAGTATGTGATTTCTGCGAGTGCCTCCCGCTGTAATTGTGCCTCGTGTGTGCACCGCTGATAACAGTATCGTGAAAAAGGGCTCCAACTGACTCTTCAGCTGCCATAAAACTATCTATTAGACTTTTGAGACTTGTAAAAGCTCTTTTGCTCATGTTATCAATAGTAACACCCCGATAAGCAGCCCTCAATGACACAGAACCCAGCTTTGCTGTTTGCTCTTTAGAAGGTGAGAAAAAACTGCATTATACTGGCCATATCAGCCGACTTTGTCCTGCACGTTTAAATGCTGACCACCCATTATTAGGAATATAATATAATATAATATAATATATAATTTTTCCCCAAGAAAGCAACTAGACAGTTTGAGTGGTAATAAAGTGGCATCTCCAAAAAATAGCCTTTTCATTAATTATATAATAAAACTCTGAATAATTAATATATTATTATTATTAGATTTTTTTTGAAGATACCACTAAACTCTAAATAAATAAATAAATAAAACAAATAAATAAATACAGCGAGTCCAAAGTCTTGATGGCATCTCCAAATAATAACTTTTTATTAATTACATAATAACATTTTGGATAATTAGTAATATTAAATAATTTATATTTTACATTTATTTACATAAATATTATTATTGTTATTATTATTTGGAGATATACTTTGAAGATACCATCAATCGTTTGGACTTGTTCCACTGGAAACATTAAATAAATAAATAAATAAATAAATAAATAAATAAAGCCGAGTATTATTAATTTTTATGACGTGAATTGTTTTATATTTATATAATACAATTTTGGATAATTAACCATTTTCATTTTTTTAATTTTACATATATTTACATAAATGTAATAATAATAATAATTATTATTATTATTATTGGGGGATATACTTTGAAGATACCATCAAAAGTTTGGACTTGTTCCACTGGAAACCATACATACATAAAGTGAGTCTAAAGTTTTGATGATATCTCCAAATAATAACCCTTTTATTCATTTTTATATAATACAATTTAGGATGATTAATCATTTAATTTTTTTTATTTACATTAGGGCTGCACGATAAATCGCATGCGATATTTAACGCTCCCCTAACACACACACACACACACAATTATAAAAGGCTACAGCTCAGATTGTCCTAATGATGCTCCATGACTTATCAATTAAGAGCATTGTTTTCCAGAGATAAACACAAGAGGAACAGAAGGCAAAACAGCCTTTGACTTCACACACACACACACACACACACTTCAATCCAAACACTTGATGCTCAACACAGCAAATATACCTCCCTGCATGAGCAAAGGCCTCAAACGCTGCCGTTTACTCAACACTCCAGAGTTGAGTAAGCTATTTTATTCCAAAGCTATTTTATTTTATATCTGAACACTGTACATAAATGTTCAATAATGTTTAATAACAGCAATCCTTGCAAGAGGAAAACAAAAGACACTAAAAAAAATAAGTAGCAAAATGTTTTGTGAAAAACAAAAAATCTTTTGTTTGGACCTGTACCATGGTACTTTCAGGGTATTCGAACATGGTACCAATTCTTACAAAAGAAAAAAAAAGCAATATACACTAACACTGATACTACCATAGCACATAATACAATGGCAATAGCATGTAATAACACAACACATAAAGACTACTCTAAATACCATGTGTAGTCTTTTTAATTAGCTAGATGTATTATGAAGTATTATTGAGTATTGGGATTACTATTAAGTATTGGGATTTTAAGCCCATTGTATTTTAATACATTCAGGCTATGTTTTATATTAATTTAGTTTAAAAAACAAAACTGAAAATACAGATACGGCTACATGAAAACTTTAACGTTTACTTTGAACTTTAAATTTGAGATAATCATAAGAAATGTTTCTTGAGCAGCAAAACAGCATATCAGAATGATTTCTGAAGGATCATGTGACACTGAAGACTGGAGTAATGATGCTGAAAATTCAGCTTTGATCACAGGAATCAATTACATTTTAAAATATATTCAAATAGAACACAGTTATTTAAAATTGTAATAATAACAGATACATTTCATAATATGACTGGTTTTACTATTGGCCTATTATATATTATATTCTATAATATTACATATTATAATTTTTGATCAAATAAATGCATCCTTTGTTAGCATAAGAGACTTAAAGAGACCCAAACTTTTATCACAACACAGTAATAATTACACGCAATATAAATTCTCAGACACCAATTACATCATGTCCACTTAATTTTTACAAGCTGTCTATTAAAGAACAATCGATATGCTTGATCAAATTACTTAATATCAATGAATCAATCATCCATTAATATTGAATCTCTATCGATTCTATCAAAATACCATGGCCCTACCATCACTCTACCACAGTACTTCTTGCAAAAGCCCTGTATTGACAGACATACTTTAAAGTCTGAAGGATCATGTGACACTGAAGACTGGAGTAATGATGCTGAAAATTCAGCTTTGATCACAGGAATCAATTACATTTTAAAATATATTCAAATAGAACACAGTTATTTAAAATTGTAATAATAACAGATACATTTCATAATATGACTGGTTTTACTATTGGCCTATTATATATTATATTCTATAATATTACATATTATAATTTTTGATCAAATAAATGCATCCTTTGTTAGCATAAGAGACTTAAAGAGACCCAAACTTTTATCACAACACAGTAATAATTACACGCAATATAAATTCTCAGACACCAATTACATCATGTCCACTTAATTTTTACAAGCTGTCTATTAAAGAACAATCGATATGCTTGATCAAATTACTTAATATCAATGAATCAATCATCCATTAATATTGAATCTCTATCGATTCTATCAAAATACCATGGCCCTACCATCACTCTACCACAGTACTTCTTGCAAAAGCCCTGTATTGACAGACATACTTTAAAGAGTTCATGTATGAAGGTTTTTGTTTGTTGACAAGTACAGCAAGAACTTTCCTCTCCTCTGGCAGTAATTGAACATCAGCAGAGGTTTTCCAAGAACAGCACAGGACAGATAAGATTGCCCAAAGTACGTTTCACAGGATGTGCTGCCCTCTGTCGCTCAGTTCCAACACTGTCTTCAAAACTAGCTTGATAGACAGACACAGGATTATAAGAAGGCATTGGTGTTTTTGTACTCACCAATGGGGTTGATGTCAAAGAAGCGGACCGGGGTTCTCAGGATGCTGTTGAACATGCGGTTGTGTAACGTCTCCGCTGAGTTCACCAGAGCGTTAAACATAATCAGAAAGCGCATGAAGCCAAAGATGACGGTGGCTCCTGTTAAACCTGATGAACACAAGATACACAAATCTCCATTACCAATGGGAGACACATGCAACATGTCTACATTTGTACTTTACTACATCTGCTGACTTTGATCATGAGCATACCTGCATAGATGCCAAGATAGAAATCCAGGTTGAGCTCTTGAGTCGTGTTAGTGCCGAAAGTGCCATTTGTGCCGATGGTGGAACTGATGTTAGAGGAAGAAAAGTCCAGCTTCTCCTGCTCTGTGGCCCTGTCAGTCATGACAGAATGACATTACGGTAGCTGGTAAACACCAGAACATCATGTCCATTCTGTACTGTCCATCTAATGTATTAAAGGGTTAGTTCACCTAAAAATGAAAATTAGCCCATGTTTTACGTGGATATTTTTCTTACAAAAACGCATCGATTTGCTACAGGAGGCCTTTATTCACCCCCGGAGCCGTGTGATGCACGTTTTAATATGGATGGATGCGCTTTATTTGACTACTTTTGGACTGTTGAACAAAAACACCCACCTACTCCCATTCTAAAGCTTGGAAGAGCCAGGACAATTTTTTAATATACCTCCGATTGGATTCGTCTGAAAGAAGATAGTCATATACACCTAGGATGCTTTGAGGGGGAGTAAAACATGGACTAATTTTCAGTTTTGGGTGAACTAAACCTTTAAGCACTATTTAGGTTGTTCAAATGCAATTAGTGTACTTCGTGCACTAGTTTCTTAATTTTTGCTTCATTTAATTTAGTTTGGATATTTTACGTATGGATAAATTTAAGCACTTTTTAGAGTGACAAGACTTGAAACTGAAACGATGTGCAAAGAAAAAGATATTTAATTTAATGAATAAATTATATTGCACTTTGTGTAATATAATAACATTATATAATGTAATAAAATAATAACATGTATATTAAGGTTTACGTTTTTGAAAGAAGCCTCTTACGCTCACCAAGGCTGCATTTATCTAATCACAAATACAGTAAAAATAGTAATATTCTGAAATATTATTCCAATTTAAAATAACCATTTTCTATTTCAATATATTTTAAAATGTAATTTATTCCTGTGATCAAAGCTGAATTTTCAGCATCATTACGCCAGTCTTCAGTGTCACATGATCCAACATTTCTTATCATCATCAATGTTGAAAACAATTGTGCTGTTTAATATTTTTGTGGAAGCTGTGATACTTTTCTCTGGATTATATGATGAATAGAAAGTCCAAAAGATCAAGATTTCAAAAAAGAAATCTTTTATAACATTATAAATGTCTGTACTGTCACTTTTGATCAATTTAATGCATCCTTGTATTAATTATTATTTTTTTTAATCTTCCAGAACACAAACTGCATTATGTATATTTTGAGAAAATCAAACTGAAAAAGCATTTACAGTAATGCAATGTACTTAAAAGTAAAAGCATAGCTGCACAGATAATAATATTATAGATCACTCACCAGTATGAAAGCCACCAGTCATGAAGAATATAAAAAGTCTATAGAGCAGAAAACGGCATTAGCATGAAACTCTTAACTGTGAGTGAGAGGTCTTTCAGTGTATAACCGCAGTAACACTGCTGTCTCTCATACCTGTGCCAGCAAGTTGAGGAGCACAAGCAAAATCAGCATTAGGACGTTAGCTCCAGCTCTAAAATATTTCCAGTACATGTGAAGGCCGATGGTCCCCTCAGTGCGCGTCTCCTCGGCCACGGTATGCACAGGCTCTGCCTACCCATGAGGAAAAACAAGGTTAAGGGTAGATGGTATACAGATTTGTCTACTGAACATGCGCACATCAATATAGCGTAATTTTTGTCACACTATACAACAATAATTACTGTTTTTGCATTATTGTAAGGAGTAGGTGAAGACGTTAATAAAACACAATCTAATAGGCAGAAAACTTAATTTATTCTTAGCTTCCAGTTTTAGCTGTATCCTTTCTAGCCACAACCGAAAAACAATTTGATATTTTCACTTGGTGGAAATGTCTATCTTTATGATCAGACAGTGAATAACATCCCACCCATCCACTAGATGGAGCTACTGACCCATCTGAGCTGTAAATGCGAATGTTAAAGGAAAAGTTCACCCAAAAATAAATGAAAAGTCACACCTACCGGCAGCTGATCGGATTCATCTTTAACAGACAGAACAGATGAAGAGTGCGAACGGACGGAGTTCTGGGAGAGTGTGCGGCTGCGGGGGGAGCGAGGAGCCTCTCCTTTTTCACCCTCTTCTTCCTCGTCCTTCTTCAGCAGAGAGGTGAAATCCACTCCCGATCGCAGCAGCTCTGAGTATGTGCCACGTGCCACCATGTGCCCCTGGGAGAGCCGTCGTGAGTTAATTAAGGCTCATTTATTCATAGGTGGAATGCAGATTGACTGGTGTGTGCTGTTACAGCTCACCTCCTTCAAAACCAGGATCTGATTTGCGGCCTTCAGGTACTGCAGCTGGTGAGTAACCAAGATCCTGGGCTTGTCCTTCAGAATACCACAAATACACCTGCAAGAACAATCAGCGCTCTTAACACTTACTGCAAAGAAACTGTGAAAACAAAAAACACTCTTAGTTCAAAAATCTGGGGTTGGGAAGATTTATTTATGTTTTTGAAATGTTTTTTCTCTTATAAATGCAGTCGCCAAGGATCATAAATACAGGAAAAAACGGTAATAATGTGAAATATTATTACAATTTAAAATAACAACTTAAAAAATAAAGTTTTCTATTTTTAAATATCTGAAATGCAATTTATTCCTGTGGGGCAAAGCTGAATTTTCAGCATCATTACTCCAGTTTTCAGTGTCACATGATCCTTCAGAAATCTTTCTAATATGCCGATTTGATGCTCAAGAAACATTTCTGTTGAAAACAGGCGTGCATTCATTTATTTCTTTTGACGATTTACTGTTGCATTTGATTAATTTAATGCGTCATTGTGTTCATGGTTTACTTTGCTCGTTTTGGAGCTTGACTGTCTCTGAAAACTAAAAGCTTTCAATGTACCGAAAAAGAACCTTATGAATAGCAACAGTAAAACACAACAGGATCAATGAAGAGTATGGACTTACTGTTCAAACAGGTGTCTACCCACTTCTGCATCCACTGCGCTCAATGGATCATCCAAAAGGTAAATATCAGCATCCTGATACACAGCCCTAAAACCCACAGACAGTAGCAGATATGTAGCAAAATCAAATAAAACAGCTCTTAAATATTCTTTCCTATTAGCAAGTATGTACTAGTTTGCATATTACATTTTTTTTTAAATTTCCATTTCATGTTATACACATTACAAAATGTCATCATTTACATGAACTATAACATCAGTATGTCCATGATGCTGTCCTCTGAATGCACACATAAACATACATATATATACACATACATATACACACACACACACACTACCGTTCAAAAGTTTGGGATCAGTAAGATTTTTAATGTTTTTAATGGAGTCTCTTTGCTCATCAAGGCTGTATTTATTTGATCAAAAATATAGAAAAAAACAGTAATATTGTGAAATATTATTGCAATTTCTAATATTGGTTTCCTATTTTAATATACTTTAAAATATAATTTATTTTTGTAACGAAGTGCTGAATTTTCATTAGCCATTACTCTAGTCTTCAGTGTCACATGATCCTTCAGAAATCATTCTAATATGCTGATTTATTCTCAGTGTTGAAACTGTTGTGCTGCTTAATATTTTTTTGGAACCTGTGATTCTTTGATGAATAAAAAGTTGAAAAGAACAGCATTTATTCAAAACAGAAATCTTTTCTAACAAAATAAGTCTTCACTATCACTTTTAATCCATTTAACACATCCTTGCTGAATAAAAGTATTTTATTTTACATTGCAATAATATTTAATAAAATAACAGGGTTTTTTTCTGTATTTTTGGTCTAATAAATACAGCCTTGATGATCACAAGAAACTTCGGTAAAAAATATGAAAAATCTTACTGATCCCAAACTGATATATATATATATACACACACTACCAACTGATATATATATATATATATATATACGTCAGCTCACCTTTGACCTTTACCACACCCTTTTCTGCTGGAAGCTCCCCCAGAACAGTGCTGAGGAGAGAAGACTGTAGGAGAGAGGTGAAGATTAATAACACTCATGGCTGCCATAATCACTTCTATTTTAAATAGCAAAGCTGGAAAAGTGAAATGAGAGAATTAATTTATTGTGACTCACCTTTCCAGCCCCCACAGGACCAATAACAGCTAGAAGTTGACCGGGCTTCACAGTAAAAGATACGTTTTGTAATGTTGGCGCATCTATAGACTGAAGTAGACCGGAGAGAATATATAATAACCATTATATCATTATATCAACATAAAAAAGGGGGAACATTAGTTTCAACAGAACTTACTAAAAAAAGTTTAGGATCAGTACAATAGAAAGTAATGAATACTTTCATTCAACAAGGCTGCATTAATCTGATCAAAAGTAACAGCGATACCTTTTTCACTGTTACAACTGTTTTCATGGGCCTTGTCACACTGCACTCACCTTGTCCCAGTAGCATATGAGATCCTGTATCTCCACAGACACCTCTTTCTTATCCTCCTGAGTAAGCGGAACGTGAGATTTCACAAGCTCATCGAGCAAGAGGAACTTCTGCACGAGAGAGAAAGACCACAGACACTTATGATGCATGAACACAAGACCATCACACACAAAAATCTGCTGTAATAACACTCTGATAGTCTAGTCGCTGTACTTTGGAGTTTCTTTGGTTAAGACAAATTAGGACTGTCCGACAAGTAGAAGTGGGTTCAATGTGAGGTCAAATCGGAAAATGAATCATCTGCTTTGTATATAAAGGCTCCCTTCTCTAAGCAGACACTCCATGATTACAAAATCTGCAGGTTCATGACTTGCGTAACATTAGCTGTGGCAGTGGGAACTTTGGAGTAGATCTAAAATGAACCCTGAAAATGACACTTACAGCACTTCAGCACAACCAGAGGAGCCAGAGATTTAGAAGTTATTAGTCTTGGCGAATCATCTTTCATTTCATTTATTTGTATGGAAAGCTTATTTAATAAATTTGTGTTATATGCCATAATTATAAAAATTCTATAAGTATATTTATGTTATATGAGTTTGTGAGCATCAACTTGCTCATTACTAACATGTAAGTTTTTGTCTTCTTTTGCCTTTTTCGTTGCATATTGATGAATTCGGAAATATATACACATATACATATATATATAAATAAACAAAACAACATGTATGTGTGTGTATATATATATATATATATACACACACACGGGCGACATTCCCCCCCAAATTGTTAGCCATGGAATCCCTGATGTCGGCCCCGCTGCAGAGCTTAGCCAAGCGCTTAATACCCTCAACGTGTTTTTGCAGCGTTGAGCAATGTAACCAATCACAGACATATCTGTTGATTTCTTGAACGTAATGGCCAATCAGAAACGTTTTGTCAGAATTCACTCACGGCTGAAAGCGCCGCAGTTTTTAAGTGCAGTTTTGCACGTTCGTGATTGAATCATCTCATGACTAAGTGCAGACGCGAAGTAAATAAGAGATTCATTGTGCAGTTTAGAGAGCTTAATTGATTATAACGGAACTTTGTAAGATCGCAATGAGCGAAGTTGAGTGACGCTTTTTAGTGATAAAGTGAGCGCGCTTTGCGCACTTTATAGGATATAATCCATTCAGAATTTGCATGAAACTTTTGTTTTTCGGACACATAGGCTACACCCTGCAAAGTTTCAGGAATGACATCCGCATATTTACACGGGATTCACTCTCGAAATAGCAGTGATTGGCAATGGACGGAACATAAAATATGTTGATTTAATTCTGAAACCGGTCCTGGCCAAACCTCCACAGACAGCGCGCGTCCCGAGCGAGATCTAATTCACGGACCAAAAG